GTGATTCCAAATTTTCATTTAAATATGTGTGCCCAAGTGCATCCATTTGCCTTTCAAGAAAATACACCTATGCCTAAGCCAGAGATGCAGATGCCTGATCTTCTCGCGAGGCCTGATGCCTGAGAAGATCAGGCATCTGCCAGAGATGCAGATGCCTGATCTTCTCGCTGTGAATGTGCTAATACAGGACTTTTTGCACACAACAGTGGTATGTATAACCCTAGAGGTCAACTGATAAAGAGATCTTAAATACAGCAACCATACTGTGCATTTAGAAGCCCAGATGAGACAAAAATTGGAAAGCCACCCTAATTGGTGCATGTATATGTATATGTTCATCATCTTGATCCAAGCTGGGTTCTGGTGCAAACTGGAGGTTCTAAAAACTAACGCTAGATGACTTCCTTCCCCAAAGTGATCTTCATGCTGTAACCTAGAAATGGGGGGCCAACAGAGCGGCCCCAGCTTACTTAGAGAGAGCCCCCCATTTTTCACTAATGCCATTGCACAGGAGTGATTCTGCCAGTGCCAGCTCTCCAATTCAAGTCATGGACCCTAGACAGGGTACCGCACCTCCAAGTGCAAGGAGCAACCACAGAAGCACAGCGCAAATCCCAAAACCAGAAGACATCTTCCAGCCTGCCATTGACATTGACCACCAGACTGCCCCACCTCCAGAGGAGGCCTGGCACAGCTCTGAAGCCAAGATCCTGAGTAACCTGGAGCCCCAGACAGCCTGCATGCCCCTCTGAAGTCCACCTGCACATACTAAGCCTCAGACAGGCCTCTGGCAGTACCTCGAGGACTTGACTTGGTTCCCAGCTGTCGCTTGAAGTGCTCAGCTCCACACTATCCCATAGTGCTTTTTTTTCAAATAATCTCACTGCTGGCCATATTCCAGCTTTGAGTAATTACATTCTTCTGACAAATTTTCCTTGGCAGTTTCAATGGAATATAATTAGTAAATGTAAACAGATGTAAATAGTGCTGTAAATTACACTTTGCATGATTGTCAGAAGCAGAGGGGGAGAGCAAGGGTGAAGGGGCAAAAAGAGCGGAGCTTCATTCTCCAGTGTGGATGATGTTGTGGCCCTCTATCTCAATGGACCACGTATGTCTCTGCCAAGACGGCTTGTTCAGGGCTACTGCAGCAGCAGATGTCAAAATTCAGGATCATCCTGTGGTTCATCACACACATCATCCCCTACACCTCAATTCTGACACGGTGGTGCTCAGTCATGTCCCACAGCTGTTTGTGAGCAGCTGCTGTGCTCCACCTCAGCTGTGCTCCTGCTTCAGCAGCAGGCAAACTGCTTCACACACAGGCAACTGCAAAATGTGTGTATGCGATATTATTGTTTTCTATGAAATGCTTATCAGATTTCTGAATGATTTGTGAAACCTTCTGCTACCAACAGAAGTGTCAAATAAATGGAATTATATAATTATCCTTCACAGCTATTTTAATGTAGCTTCATGTACTAGTTTCACCTAGAGTGGAAATAGCTTCTTCCAAAAATAAAGTAAATGCATATATTTAACTTAATATAGTCAAGTAAATTTGAAAGCAACTATTTAAAGTAATGAAAATAGAATATAATGTATACCTATATTAGTACTTTATTATGTGTCAAATGTCTTATGTACGTCAACTGTTTCAAATACAAATTGATATAGCTGGTGGGCTTAATCAGATCGTTCTGTCACAGAGAAAATTTGAGGATGATTTTTCAATAATTCACTTATTTTTCTGTTTATTCATAATTTGCATACAGAAATTAGATAGCAGGAACTAGTAAAATGAAGGGAAAGTTAATTTTCTTAACAAAAGCTTATTGCACTATTTAGCTGTAACAGGAGAAACAGATGTTTCAGCTTTACAATACCATGTCTTGCAAAACGTCCCTCTGAACAACTATTCGTGCTCTACATGTTTTGGACTGTGTATGGAGTGCTCTGCTAACAGTCATGAGAAGCATTGCATACATTACTAAAGCCCACACTAAGATAATTAGTGCTAAAAAAAAGAATCAACAGGCCTTTTTCCCCTCTTTATAGTATTGATTTAGTGTGGGTGAAAAACGCCAGATTTTCAATCTTGAAGATTCATGTTCCACCACAGAGTGGGAGATGGAGCCAGCTTTTCCCAGTGTTCTGCCAATAAACACTTAGATTAACCACCTCAAGGGTAGGGAGGAAGAGCCAGGCTCTACAGCCTATCAACCCTTAGTGTCTCTGAGGAACCTGTGAACATGGAGAATGGGGAGCACACAAACTGGGACAAGGAACTAAAATTCTTAATCTTTGTGGCTGTACCTACCCAAGTATTTTGTTGTTCAAAAATTCCTAAAATTGCTGTGCAGAACAGAAATTACCAGGGATCAGTACTGAAGTTACAGTGCTACAGAGAGGACTCTAGGCAGTGGCAGCAGCCATGAAAAATTTCTACAGTGAAAGGGGACTTTAATTTTGTATCTTGCATGTATATCTCCTAAATGGCAAACTCTAGTTTTTAATAAGGACTCTGTAGCCTTTGGCAAATTCTGTGATAGGATACATGTATCATTTAACTCTTTGTCTGGCAATAGCTTCACCTTCTGCAGATCTAAACAGTGTCAATACAGATACAGGCACAAACCCCAATGTAATAGTGCCCAGTCCCTGGAGATGCTAAGCCAGAGCAGTTTAAAGTAGCAACTTTTTTTAGTATCAAATGGCAGGCTAAGAGCATACACATGAACAACTCTGAATACCCTGTGGGTAGGTGGCTACTTGGTAAGCCACCTTATGAGTTTGATCCTTCCCCTGGGGAAGGATCTACTGTAGACATGCCTTGAAGAAAGTAACATGTCCTACTGGAATGTTTAATGCTTATTTTAATAATAGAGCAATCCAGGTTAGTTGAGGATGACATTATTTTGCTTAGTGTTTGTGAGGGTTGCTTTAAAACCACTTGCTTTCAGGCAAAGTGATAATCAGGCTAAGCACTGTAAGACTTTTATAATGCAAGGCCAACACATATTTTTTCATTCAGGCTGCAAGAATAAACCAAGCACAGCTGTTTTACTGAAAACAACCCACTGGTATTTAAGTAGATTAACAAAATTAACTGTGAAAATCCTCTGCTATGTGGAAGCCAATAACCTGTTGGCCACAAGGAGGCAGGGCAAGGATTTAGTAAATGAAAAGAAACTGTTTTTATTTAAAATAAAAAGATTATTTTTTTAATGAGGCACATTACATTCATTCAGACATGAAACTTCAAACTGCTAGGCAAGATAAAAAGCATTTTTCATTCACAATGTGTGGTTTCAGTATTGCTGTTTTATTCCAAGAGCAGCAAATCTTTAAGATATCAAAAAATAGCTGATCTGGAAGCAATTTTCTTCTTTTGAAGAAGCAGATCACACATATTTCTTCAACATCACTTGTGTGTGATAGAGGAGAAGTTCTAACAGTAAGCTTTGATAGCAGCAGTGGATTTACCAAGTCAGAGCAAGAAGCCGTGCTGCCAGGTTCATTATTGCTCCCAAGCTAATAAATCCTGCTTCTGGACAGCTTTGGGAGCTCTGCCTTTCACTTCCTTGGCACTTCTAATTCTGGGCTAAAAGCAAGCAGAGGCAGTTCGGCATCTCTAGTGCCCTACCAAGAACCTTATGCATGAACCTACCATGAACCTTAGGCAGAACCTTAATGATATCTCCTTCCCCCAAGCAGAAATTGAAGACATTCCAAAACCAATACAAACCCAAGGTCAAACTTCTAAATAACAAAGCGGCAAAAGAGGAAAATAAAACCAAAGTATCTCTATTTCAGAGTTATGCAGAAAAATATTATATTGATCAATGAAACAATGCTTTCCACAGTATCAGAATATCACAGTCCAAACCTATAAGCAATCTTCTGATTGAGATGAAGCGACTTTACTCTTAGCTCTGCTTCTGCATGTTACTGACCTAGGTAATTTCAGCTCCCTCTGCCTCTGTTTCCTCATCCTTTAAGCAGTTGCCTTTCCTCCTTGTGAATCAGTATGAGGTCCATGGATAAAAAACATGCTACAAGAACTAGTTGTTATTAATGCAATTCAGATATGGAATGTACCAGATGGTAAAATCTCCAGGATTTTAATGAACTATTGTAACAGAACATATGTAATATGACGTTATTATAACAGGCATTTAAATGTATAGTTAGTACATATAACGTGACCTGCTCTGCTCTCAGTAACTCCACTGGAATTATTTTGGATTTATGTCAGATAGTATGAGGAACACAAAATAGCCCCATATGTGCAATGTGGTAAGGTTTTCATAGCAATGATATCTTAACTATTGCCTGTCCTGTTTTTCTCTTTTGCTGGGGGTATTGTATTTTGTGGTTTCAACAGAGCATGTTTTCTGCACTTAGTTCTGAGCAGGAACTAAAGAAGTATCCTAATGTCAAAGATTAAAATGCACCTGACCAAGTATCCCTTACCTAGCATCATAAAACAGTCATCATGAAACAGCAAGAGCTTTTGGGTTTTTCCACTATATTCTGTAAAAATTATGTATTTAATCATCTTATGCTAGACTTGGTAAGTAATTAATGCTTTGTCAGAAGACTCAAACATTCAGTTTCAGACTGTGAGTAGTATCTCCATTCTTTCACAGTGTTTGAGTTCTAGACAAGATGAATTAAATCAAAGGGCAAAGGTGAAAAACAACACTGCAGCTCAATCCAGTGGCATCACGTACTACAGTCAGAGACAGGTACTTCAGTAAAGGAGGAACATGAGGACACCTTGAGTATGTATAATAGTTCTAGCTCATCTACAATACAACTATAAAACTCAGGTGAATTGACATTTAATATATGAGACACTGGAAGCAAGATACCAATTTCACATCATAAATTAGCCTTTGTGCTAGTGCCCAAAGATTTGGCTGATTACTCACTGCTTTCCCCTAGTGCTTAAGTACTCTTTTCCAAAGCAAGACAGTTAAACCACAAAAACGTACCGTAGTGTCCACAGCCCTGACCTTCCCAGCAGGAACGTGCTTTGGAATGGCTTCGTCTCCTGATATCATCATGCAGCCTTCTGCTCCAAGAGTAACAATTACGAGCTTACACCCTCTTTCTAACAGCATGCGTCCCACCTTTTCAGCATCTTCAAGGTTGCCAACTGGGATGCCCGTTAAAATTTCTGCCTGGAAAACAACCCACGCAAATGAAAATCATAATCTGACAGCATTCATTTTTGGACAACTGTTGCATTTGAAAACAGAATTTAGTATCTTTTAAAAATGTGTATTGTAGGATGATCATGAAACCACTTCCTACGCTGATATTCAGCTGTGTCTTGCTCCTAGTTTGAAATCAATGTGTACTTCAGGCACAGCAGACCAACAGAGAGCAGCCTAGGCAGAGAGACAGAGGAGGTGTGGGTTCTGTTCCAGCTTGTACAACTTACCTGGTATACAACCCTTAGTAAAATTACATTTCTCCCACATGCCTCTGTTTATTCATCTGTGAAATGGACACAGTGACACAGTCTCGGCAAAAGCATTTTGTGGTTTAATGTGAAAAAATGCTGCAAGTCAACTTGGTCACTATTCTTGAGGGATACTAATCACTAAGTGAGGAACTTATTAAATAAACACTTTTTAAAATTCTCAGTGTTCAGCTAGCTAGAGGGACATCACAAGGGAAAATCTCCTCCAGGAAAAAAAAAAATTGCTCAACTTTGATCACTCTGTTCAGTTTAATATATATTTTTGGATGAGAATACCTAAATTTTATCTGAAGCCCTCTTTGGACAAAGGCCCATTAAAAATTATTATATATTTATGTTACAGCCATGTCCATATGCCTCTGTCAACTGTGCTGGCTCTGTACAAATGCAGTTAAACTCTTCTTCTAACTGATGGTGAGTTTAAGTAAACTTCTCCCAGCTGGGTCTTAAAATTAATCTCTTCTATTTCCACCCAACTAAGAGCAAAACTTCACCAAAATCTGCAATGAAGACTTCAGAATCAAACAACATTTTTACCACTTTACACATTTTCTTAATGGCATTGTATTGTCAAGTGTAATGTACTTTTTCTGTTCTTTTTGGACGGGAAAAGAACAAGAATGAAATAGGAAGAAAAGGAAGAGAAATGTTTTTTTTTCTCTGAAACAGTCTACTAGGCAGTTCTCCTGCATAATACTGTATGCCTTCAGCTGTAAGTAAACAGACATTACATTTTGCTGTCTTCACTAAATTTTGTCCTGCTTGCCTGAGAAAAGGGAAGCATTACTGTTGCTCGCATTACAAGGCTGCTGCTGGATCTTGAACACTGAAGCATTTTCAGATAACTGCTTCATAGCCGAGCATAACTTCCACACTCCCGGGGCTCATTTTCAGTGGAAAACTTTCTTTGGAACCTATTCAGCAGCTACTCTCCTGACCTTTGCTGCATGAGCAGCTGAGCTTCTTGGGAAACAGCTGCTGAAATATTTCAAACTACCTTCCTCGGCATGACTGAAGCTTGAATTCAGCGCTCGCAGTTCCTGGTGTAACAAAGTGTAAACTACAGGGATTAAACAAGTGCTTCACGGGGCGCAGGCCATGCCTGCAGCAGAGGGGACAGGAACTACCCCAGCCAGCTCCGAGCAGGCCGCCCCAGCTGTGAGTCAGCGCCCGCTGCCATTTCCTGACTCTCACTCAGCCTGTCCCAGGCGGGAGCGGCCAGCCCCGGGCTCTGCAGGGCCACACCATGCCAGCACACTCTCTAGCGCCTATAGTATCACTCGCAGAGCACTTAATGGCTTTAATTTTCAAACATACATGACTAAGTTCTGCAGTCCCTACTCAGACAAACGCACAAATTATTTCAAGCGCTGTCGATCGGCTCGCTGTGAGGCACAGCCTGGTGTGGCGGGACTCGGCTGCTAAACTTGTGCACTGCAGGGGCAAGGCGTGGTCAATTTAAAATTACCTTTTTAACCACACTGATCCCAAACAAGAATATAGTAAGATCTAAATTATAAGAAGGCAACTAAATCTGTCCAATTTTCTCTTTGGCATGCCACCATGCTGCTCGGACCTCTCTTGCAGTATAAACTATTCAAGCATATTAAACATATTTCAGTCTTTAAAAGGTTATAAAAGTATTTCCAAGTAAGATTTTTTTTTTCCCCAAAAAGTATCTCACAAAACCTTTTGAATGTATCTTCTTACAAGGTTTCCAGGAAACCAATTCACTAATAATGGTTTTGGAGTACCTACAGATAGATGACACATAATATTAATATATATATATGTACATTCTATTCAAGTGTCTAAAGAGTCCGAGTCTCTTCATGAATTTTAATATCTCTGGAGCAGGAATTATGTATTCCTGTATTCAGAACACCTGGTGACCTGTGCTACATGAATAAAACCAATTTAACACAAATCCTTGAATGAAACAGGCAAACTGAATTTTCAGAGTACTTTATGAGGGGCAATAATTCCAAACATCCTACCTCTGTAGCAAAGTCTCCACAAGGAGAAGGAAAGTGGTTTTGGTAGAGTAACAGTAAATCTAATATTGGTTTATTTACCTGATATTTATATTTCTGTAAGCTCATGAGCAAGGTAAATGAAGTATTTAAATATAATAATTCTTCCTAATGAAATGTACAACCTGTATGCTTAGCATTATGACAGAACTCCTCTTCATGCTTTCCATGCCCCAGATCAACAGGATTTTTCATTTGAGTAGTGAAAGGATTGTTTTGGGACAGATATTTGTAGAAATCTTTCTTTCCATCTTTACACTGCTTATACCAATAAACAAAATTATTTTGAACAGACAGAGTCTGTATAAAAGTAGATCTTTGGCTGCTTCAAACCACTATCATCTAACTCATCTACAGCAGGATGGTACAACTAAAAAACACTGGAACAAGCTGAAAGAACCATAAAAGCAGCAGAAGCCAGACAGATTCTGTGCCAATGATTAGAAATTGCAGTAAATGTCAACTGATGTTAAATACTGTGGTGAGTTTTTAAGTTCCTCCCTTCAGTAGAATCTTATTTAAAAAACAAACTGTGGTACAATTCAGGGAAATAACTAATGGTTATGTAAAGAAAAAATTAAATAACAATACTGAAAGCCCAATGTGGACATTTGCCATCATACTGTACAAAAGAGCAGCAAATGAAGAATTTTATTTTTCTGCAGCTAGTCTCATAAAACTACTCAGTTAAATGGACTTATTAAAGCAAGATGACATTCCACACAACTGCTGTCAGAATAAACCTATGATGGATATTATATAATTAATCTACATGCTATTTTGAAAATGTTGTTTGCAAGACTGGTAGAAAAATTTAACTAAAGCTTTTAATTTCATAGATACGAAGGTTCTTGGCCATAGTCTTTACTAATCTTAGTTAAGTCTCTGTCTCTCTTTAGACTGTGGAGTCTGGTCATGGTAAGCTGACACAAACCAGAAGTGCTACATAAAAGAAAATGGCCTACTTTTTTCTTGCCACTCCTGTCCAAATGGCCCACTCTCATGTGCCAGAACAGCCATTTGTGTGGCCTGGAAACAAACTAAGATTGCAAGGCAGATCTCTGTTAAAATTAACACCACCCTGAGTCCCACATTACCCGCAAAAGTCAACCCAAAACAATTAACTTCTTTCAACAGCAACAGTAATTTACACTGGCTACAGCTGAGAATGTTCCCAGCACAGGAGCATTTGCCAGTTCTTCCTCGCTGTGGTGCATTTAGGGCAGCCACTTCCAGGGAGATGTTCTGGATCGTCTGCTTGGCATTTTCAAAACCAAATCTGCAGCATTGTATCTGGTTTTGGGAACTCTGGCACAAGTAAGACACTGACCTATCACAGCACACTGCACTGGAAGGCCATCAAGACAGTCAGAGTGCCAGAGACCAGGACATACAAGAGGAGGCTGGGAGAAGCAGGCTTGTTCAACCTTAAGAACTCCTGGCTAAGGGGAAAATCTAATTGCTGTCTAGGGCAATTTAGTAGGTGGGTATAGAGAAGATGAAGCCAGAGTCTTCTTGAAGGTGCACAGGGATAGGGCTGGAGACAACAAGCACAAACTAGAACATGGGAAATTCCAATATTAGGACAAGCTTTTTCACCACAAGGGTGATGAAGCAGTGGAGCATGTGCCAAGAGGTCATGCAGGCTCCAGCCTTGGGAGATTCAGAACTTGACTGGACAAAGCCCTGAGCAATCCATCCTAAACTGGACAGGCTTCACCAGGGTGTTGAACTAGTTGAACATTCAGAGGTCTGTTCCTAATTTCCACAATCCTCTGATCCTCAGCAAATATAAACTGGTGAAATAACAAGAAGTATTAATTCCTTGGGGAGCAGTCTGTCATTTGGACTGGGTTTTGTGCACCTAGCACAATAACAACTTAGCCAATGTTCCCAGGTACTACTGGAAGAGAAATAATAAATAATAACAGGGAAACTGTCCAAGTTTTAAGGCTAATGCATCTAAAACTACATGTGATAATTTAAAATACTTTTCATTTCAAATATTTAAACACAGTAAGTCAGTTGGCTACAAACTTGGCCTGTACCTTAAAAGATTTCTTTCGAGAATGACAAAACAAGAACTCAATCTCATTAATTCTAACACATGTGAATGGTCCCCAAGAAGTAGTACAACAGATTTAGTGTATAAGAAATTGCAAGGTCAGGCCACAAGCCAAGCTAGTTCCAGTTGTTTCAAATTAAAAAATTTTTACATACAGGCAGGCAGAAATACTTATCATGCTAGAATAATTAAAAACTGATTGAAATGAATTGGCCTGAGGATATAATTTCCCTCCCAAAAGTAACATCTTTCATTTTAAACTAAATATGGGAAAATTCGTAGTTTCCAGCAACTGATAAAAAGCGGTTTAGAACAAAGATGGAAATAAAATATACTGTGAATTGCTGGCAACTTCTATGCAATGGTAGAAGAGTAGCTTTCCATTACTTAAATCATAAAAGGCAAATCCAAGAGATGTTCTGAAATATATTATTTCTAAATGACCTGTTTTTGTTTTGACTCCTAGAGAAATCAGTTATATTTTCTTAAGGAAGATTATTCTTACTATTAATCTCTCTATATTAACAAGCAGTAACTTAAATGTCCTTATTCCAGACTACAGATAAAGTTTTATAAACTTCATATTCTCTGAATCTTACAAAAGGCAATTATGTCTCTTGATTTGGGACATACTAACAAATATTTATTCAAAAAAATGATCTATCCTCTGTTAATAGACAGTATCACTTAAAAGGAAACAGTAGGAATATATCTGGTTTTCTGTGTTATTTTTATACATCTTACAGTTTTAACAAAATCAGCAATTAACTTGGTTTCTGTTATTGAAGCTCCAATGCTGGTATTTAATTAAATCTTTGCAAGGCCTTCTTTAGATCAGAAGTCTGATACCCATTTTACATTAGGAAGAAAGTAGTTCCAATTTTGCATTAAAATAGCTTGTCAAACTTAATAATTTGCTGTAACCATTCAGGAGTTTTTCTTCTCCTGAAGGGCTCCTCAGTACTCTTTGAACAGAGAAGCAGCTGTTCTTCAAAACATTTAGGATCAAATTGAAATTGCTGATGTGCAATATATTTTGGTTCCTAACCTGCAGGGCTATGTAACTGCATGCACACACTAAGAAAGAAAAACAACACATGAACTGTATTGACATTGTGGTTATGCCTAGAGCCATCTGCAGCAAGGAATCATACAAATACGTGGGAAAAAAATGGTAAGTATTCCAAAGAGCTTGTCTGGTATAGGGTTGTCTCTTTTTTAACATTTATAGATGACTGAAAAGAACAACCATTAGTTTTCACCAGGATGACACTGGATACATTTATTTTTCATTAGAAGAATTAAGGGAATGGAGAACTAGCACATTCCTTCACAAACCTCAGGGATTAGGCTTTGCTACATCTGGGAATTAACAAACTAGTCTCAACAAGTTTGATCTTTCTGGGAAAAGATAAAACTGAACTACAGGCTAAGCAGCAAAAGAACTGATAACCTTGCAAGATTTGTTCTGACATTTTTGTTCATGAACCACATAAAAAGAAGGTAATGTCAGACATAAAAACCCCTGTTATTGCAACAAGCAAGAGTGAAAAGAACAGCTTGTGAAGAGCCTTCTAGACAAACTAATGGTAGATAATTCACTGATAATGTAATTTTGTTTGCTTCTCTCTAGCATGTAAATCCATAAGAACAAGCTGTGCTGTTATACCAGATACTGCATGTGATTTCATTAAATCCTAAAGTATTTAATAAAGAATGGAATATAAAGCGTTGATGTTGTATTTGATATTTGCATGTTTGAGAGCCAGCATCCCATGGCTGACACTATGGCTGACAACTTTAAACTTCTGTTCTGTGACAAAGGTATTGCAGATCAAGACCCTGACCTTTAGAGCTGTAAATAACAGAAACTTCTATCTCAGTAATAATTCAGCTAAACACAAGGACCATCCCCTTTTCTCATTTTTGATAATACAAACACCCTACACAGTTTATGAGATGTATTAAACTATATGGCTGGTGTTCTGTTTGACAGCCAACATCATTTTCTGTTACAAACATACTGTTCACATATTATCCAAAAAGCACAGGATTTTATAATTTAAAAGTATTTCTTGGTGAACAAGGAGGAGAGGGATATTATGATGAAATTGTGATAAATACTTGCAAATATAAATTACTAAGAAAGGCAAACCAAGCAATAAAAATAAAATATCTGTGTAAATTTAATCTTGTCTTAAAGCACACATCTGTGTTTAAAAGAATGTTTTAGAAGCAGTTGAACTGGGCAGCTCTAAAGATCTCACCTTCAAACTGAAAGTGGTTTATTAACTATTTAAAAGACTTAGTAAAGATAAAGCAGAAATACACTTTTTTTTTTCCTTGAAGTAGCTAAAAGTACCAGATAACAAGAAAAATTACTCCAGAAAGGGTAAAGCTGGAACATAAATAGGATTTTGGCTGGAAGGAAGACATTTGAGACTTAGAAATACCAAGTAGGAGAGAAAATGGAGCTGGAACAGAACACCTCAGGACAGCAGTTGTAACCAGGACATTCAAAAAATTTGGTCACAGAGAATAATATTTCTTTAAAATCCAAGAGAATGACCATGGTGGCTTAGAGAAAAGGTCCATCTCATCCAAGTGCTATTTTCTAACTGTAATTGCCAGTAAATACTAAGGGAATTTTTTTTTAAATAGGATTGAAAGATCTTTTCCCAGTATATGTTCAGATCAGTTTAGGTACTCCCTGATTTAAGATGATGATGGAAATGCATATATAGTTGGTTGAATGCATAAAGTTAAAAAAAACTTTGAATTATCTTTAAGATTTGTAGAATTAACTTGTTGATTTTAAGTGTCACGTAGAGATGTGACTGCTAACCTTTATTTGGGTATGTAAACATTTGTCTGTATATCAGACTTCTCAAGTGTACTCATTATAGAGATCTGAAATTAAAGAAAGTCATGAAAGATAACAGAAAACAGATGGTATATGAACATACAACAATTACTAAAAAAACTACTTTCAAACTTGTGACATAAGAAAAACAAATGTTTGATTTTTCCTTTTTTCTCAGCAACAAGAAAGGAACAATGGCAATAGTTCATCCCTAAAAATCAATTCAATACAAATCAGACATACAGAGAGAAGGAAATCAAACAAAATTTAATATTACATTTGTGCTAACATAATCGATTTTATTGCAAAGTTTCAAAAGGTTGTTTCTAAAAACAAAGGTATTTATGAGCCATTGTTGTTCTCAGACTATGCCGTACACTTGGATTTATGCTCCCATGATATGGCTGGCAGGAACTCCCATATGTCTAGCATTTCCAGAAATTCAGAAAAGATGAGCCTCCCAAACAGTTGAGAGCACATTTCTGTTCCTGACCTTGCATCCAGTGATCCTAGCTATCTTCACATGGTAATTACTTTTTAAAAGAAAACAGCAGAAAAGAATGCAAACTGTACCTCCAGCTCTGCAGGAAAAGATAGATGAGTGAGCATGGATCTATTATAATTATACACCTGTATTTCTTGTTCTCTAAATAGAAGTAATTTTCTTTTCTCCATGTGGTGGTAATAATAATACCCCTGGATCCAGCAAGCTACACTTCTAAAGAATGCCTCTTTCAAGACTGTCCCCTAGCAATAAAATACAACAAAAGGAAAAATCTAACATGTGTGATGCAAAGAGAGAAAAGTCAGGAATAAGACAAGTAAAGTAAAACAAAGTTTTGTTTCTAATATATGGGGGATAAGTATTTGCAGGGGGAAAAAAATTAACAAGTGGCACTATTAAAAAAGCAAACTATGAACGATATTTACTAAATAGTGGGAGAGTATGGATGTTCTCAGTCCAAAATGTGAGCCATTGCACCATTTAGCCAATCCAGAGGCATAGTCCAAGCATAAAAGTTTTCTGATGGCATTAAGAAAACAAGATACTGATGTTGTGCAAGTCCCCTGAACAAGAATAAATACTTTGCCTTACACTCTCTTCATGACATAGAATTCAATTCTGATATCTGTTGTGTGGTGTCTGAGCCACAACTTGTATCACTGCCAGTTATCCTGGAAACTCTGGCTTCCAGAGACCTGAAGAGCCATAGCATCTCCCACCTTGCTATTTTGCTAATTCTTTAATTCTCTAGAGTATGTGAACTTGGCAGACCCATAATGAAACATCCCAGAATAAAACTTAGATGTCCTTTTGGGTTACTTAAGCTGACTCTTAAATGCTAGAAGACTCATGGACTGAGAACTTCTGATATAGTTTGTGATGGGGTTTAACAGAAATTTCAAAAGAGGATAACTGAGTCTTCAAAAATTTCCACTGACAGACATTGTCATTAGACAAAAAACATACAAGTAAGCAGGACCATGCTCTCTCTTGGCTCTTCCCCCTACTCTCCACGCAAAGGGATAATGTTCATTACAGCAATCATGTTTCTTAAAGATAACTTTAATTCTGATCAAGACATGGTTCCTATCTAATAGGTTACTTCTTCCACATTCCTGTTTATGTGAAGAGAGAGTGAGGGGAAGGAACACAGCATGCCTAATGGTAATAAGTAGCAAATTTAAACAAAAATCTTACTAGATGAGGTAAATTTGTCTCTTGTGACAAAACCAATTTCCTTTGGGAGAAATAACACTTGAATTAGAAAAGAGAGAAAAAGGAGGGGGGAAAAAGAAAAAAGCAAAATATACAGTTGAAGGCCAGAGAAGATTCACTGAAAACAGATCTGACAGGAAGAGGCATATGAAACTACTATTTGCCATCAAGTGCAGCAAGCGTGCATCACCTCCTGGCAGCAGAGTTTAAAACTGTCAGAACACTATGGCTAATGCATTCCTGCTAATCATATCAAGGGACCACAGAACAAGGACAAGGAACTATTTTAATATTTACCACTCAGTGATAACATTTAACAAGTGTCCTTTTATGGATGTGTTTTGCTGATGTACTTGTAAGGAAGGCTGGACCCAGCTTTCCTGCTGCAAACAGCTAATTTAATTTCAAGTGCAAGATAAAGTTATTTTAGAATACTCCTCTTTGCTGGTTAGGTCAGGTAAGAGAAGCATGGCTCAATTTTCCTGTTTCTTATGCTGTATTTCTGAGAAGACTATTCTGAAATTTTCGTGCTTAAGACTCCTTCTTTAACATGACATATGACCATTACCTCAGTTTCATTGCAGCAGAAGATATCAGAATAGGTATAAAACTGTGGGTCTAGGTCAGCAAGTGCTGGAGCTGGATTAAACAAAGTCTTTACTGAAAAAAAAAAAAGAAAAAGAAAATCTAAATCTGGAATGTTTTGGATTCATAAGCCATCACTTGAAAGACCGTTGTGTTTCAATCACACACCCCAATATTTATTATTAACACACAAATTACTCTCAGTTTCTGCATCCTCCTCTTATACAAAAGATAAACGTTTTGTTTATTATATTAAAGTTGCATTCTAATTCATATGCAGGCACCTGTCATGATGGGAACATTATGGAAGAGTAACAGCAAAAAAACCCCAGAAACTATTATTTTTTTTAGAAAAGAGAAAATACTTAGACATTAATGCAATTTGTTTAACTGATGATGCTTCTTCCATTATATGTATAAGTTTTACAAGAACTGATTTAGTTCTAGAATTTTTCAGTGTCGTTATCTGAGTTCTGTACATGAAGAATCACGAGTTATGGAGTAATGAGGGGCATGTCCAGACAAGGAGTTAAATATGCTTCTGAATGTGTTACCTAACTTGTTCAAAATGCCACATTATAAAACTGTAGTGTAGACAAGGCACTGCATATTTTTAGTATGCTATTTGGCAGAGCTAGACCCAAACTTAACATGTGGTAGAATATGTTAGTTAACCTAACTTTAAACTGTAGTAGCCTAAGGCCCCTAGTAGCAGCAGCAAAGGTTTGTCATGAGGACAGTGTAAGTGACTTACTCATTATCAACAGAGGAAGTCTGCAGCCTTGGTTTTTCACTTTGCCAATTCCATGATTAATATCTGAGTCTTAACCACAAGGCCATCATTTTTAAATAAAGCACACACTCTTATTTCAGAAATATTCCTTATAGTGAGTGATCAAATCTTCCAATCTGGATGCCTAAATTTTCTGTCCTAAACACATATTTAGACTGTAAGCTATAGCATGCAACAGTCAGACACCCTGAACATCTCTGAATCCACTTAGTGCCCTAACAGACAAAGACGCACAGAGACTTCTGAAATCTGAGTACCAAGAAGTTTAGGTGACTGACACTTAGAAAGTTTTAACCTTTGACTGTACAACTTTATCATGCCTCTCTACCTGTCTCATTAAAAACAGTATTAAAGTGACACACTTTTACTCAGAAGTCAGAAAATGCCAGGATTAGGAATTCCAATGAAATCTTAATTTGGCTCCCTTAAATTATTACAATACAGTATGTATTATAATAAACTCTTTAATTATATGATCACATACCACTGAAAAACAGCATGTGATCATATAATTAAAGACTGCAACATAATACATATGCAGAAAGGAGACAAATTAAGGTTTCACAGGGAACCTTAACTCTTGCATTTCCTATTTTCTTAACTGCAACACTAATGACATTTTCTTAAACATAAAACTTTAATGTATACTTTCCTAGGTAAAACAAAAACCAGCATATACTGGAAAACAAACTGTCACATGGTATCATATTGACATATGCATGGGTCAGGAACAGCACTGGAAGTGCTCCAACTTGGGTTTTAAGTAATATAGACTGGTCATGAGCACAATGTAATAGACTACTATTAGTTTTCTCCCATATTTATTATATGCTGAGCATGGGGGAAGATAGAGGAACCCTAAGATCCTTTTTCAGGTTGTGAAGAAGAGCATGGCTTTTGAACAGGATAATCTGTTTGGTCCTCCTGAGGAACTTATAGTCTACTGAAATTCTTTCACAGAATCACAGAATGGCCTGGGTTGGATGGCCATTTCCCCTTGTTCTGTCACTACATGCTTTGTAAAAAGTTTGTCTCCATCTTTCCTGTAGGCTCCCTTCAGCTACTGGAAGGCTGCAATTAGGTCACCACTAAGAGTTTTCCAGGCTGAACAAACAGCCTTTCCTCACAGGAGAGGTGCTCCATCCTTCTGATCATCTTGGTGGCCTCCTCTGGACTCTGTCCAACAGGTCCAGGTCTCTCCTGTGCCAGGCCCCAGGGCTGGATGCAGCTTCCAGGTCTCAGCAGAGCAGAGGGGCAGAATCCCCTCCCTGGCCCTGCTGCCCACGCTGCTTTGGATGCAGCCCAGGACACGTTTGGCTGTCTGGGCTGTGAGTGCACATTTCCAGCTCATGTGCAGCCTCCCACCCAGCAGCAACCCCACGTCCTTCTACCCAGGGCTGCTCTTGATCTGTTCATCCCCCAGCCTGTGTTGATACCAGGGTTGTTCCATCCAGGTGCAGCCACTTGCACTTGGTCTTGTTAAACCTCATGAGATTCCCATAGGACTACTCCTCGAGCTTGTCACTTCTCTCCTTTTGCCAAGATCCATTCTCCTCAATGAGTTTTTATTCTTTATGGCTCCTTGCATAGGAACTATACAATTGTAACCTTTTTCACTCACTTGCACCACATCATCTCTCTTTATGGCCCACAGTTCCTGTTCCCACTTCCAGTGTCCACAACTTGCTCCCTGACTCTACCTCCATATTCCAATCTCTATTCAACAAATCCTAATCTCTGTTCCAATTTTGTTCCTCTTTCAGCTTCTCCTTTCTTTCTTCCTCTGCCACCCCCAAAAATCAAGTAAATCTCTCCTACATTTCCTTTGCCTGAAATCAACTCTCCATCACCAGCATGCCCATCTATCTTTGTCTCTTCTGTATTGAAATTAAGCAAGCTCCTGCTCTGTGCTTCATGGGCCTACAACAGATCCTTAACATAATAAAAGAAGTTGCCTAAAACCAGATTCAGGAATTACATTGGAAGTCATGCTGTCCAAATGGACAAGTGCTTGTATGGACAGATGCTCAGGGGAAGCTAGCTGTGAAGCTCTTAACAATTTTCTGATGTCTGTGTGAAAGGTACTTATTTTCCAGAGGTCGATAATACAGTTAAAATCAGGCAGGTTTCCGTACCGTTGTGAAGGCTTATCTTTAAAAGAAAGCTCCCTTGCTATCAAGTCTAAAGTAAATTTTAAGGTAGCTGGTATTCATAATTCAAAAGCTAGGGTAGGGTGGGAGGCATTTTCCATTGCCTGGTTTCTGTAACCACAGTGCTTTGGCAGAAATCATGAAGAGTTTAACCACAGACAAACAGCTGTTATGAAAAATTGTAGCCCAAGATTAAAAGCTTGAAGCATCCGAAAAATAGATCTGTTTCTTGCAAGTGACATGGAACCTTTAACTGAGGGTGCTTCCACATCATTTTTCACAACAGTATTAATATGCTGGGCATTATAATATTATTATTATTATATTTTATGGAGTCTGTCATTAGAGCAGTCCAAAACCAGACTTTTGGAGGCAGCAGCAGATTCTCACCATTGACCACTAAAAACCTTTACTTGTCCAGTCAGATTTCCTCTACAATTTATATCCACTTCATATTCACAACCCTTCCTTCCTTCCTTCCTTCCTTCCTTCCTTCCTTCCTTCCTTCCTTCCTTCCTTCCTTCCTTCCTTCCTTCCCTCCTTCCCTCCTTCCCTCCTTCCCTCCTTCCTTCCTGATTGTTACAAGAATAATGAACAATCAGTGCCACAATGAGAGGATGTCATGACATGTACATGACATAATGAGATGTCCCTCTCCAGCTTACAGATCCAGATGACCTTCACTGAAGAGAAGCAAAGAGTTCTTGCCTGTCGCTATATTCTTTCTCTCTTTTGTTTATTTCTTTCAGTAAGAATGAAGAAAAACAAGCAAAAAACCCTCATTGAAACAGAGGTTTGAGGCATCTGGGTATGCATCTGTTTTACACAAAAATAGTCAAGTGAACATTCTAACATGAAGTGCTACATAATACATGAGGGTATTGCAAGTTAAAAGAAGAGAAATTGCATTAACAATTTGCTATTGGCTACAGATAGGTTTTTACAGTGCTACAAACTCAGCTGTTTACTTAGATTTGATGGCACATGACATTTGAACATGTGTAGCCTATTGTTTTAAAGCAGAAGCAACCAAACTTCCCTGACAGAAGAGCTGCACAATGATAACACACAGCACAGAACTACAGCTGGCCCACAGTTAACTACTATCTTTTCTTGATATATTGTGCTGTCTACAGTTGCTAAGTGATTGCATGTCTGTTCTGTGTATCAAGTTTGAATTTTTCTCAATTGCTTTTAAAAAATCTTGTCTTTTCTTCTGTCACCAAGATGCCAAGGCTGGCATCCTGCCATAGGAGGGTGACAAAAGTGTGAAGCATCTTGCCAAAACTGCTCATAGAGTTCACAGAAATGGACAAAATAAGTAATGGATATTGATTAATGATTCAACTAGAGTCCATTAACCAGTAGATTAAAAGTGCTGTTATCTATTTTCATAAAATTTAATGACAAAATATAGTGCAACAGGTGCACCACAGTTCATGGTGCAGGAGGTGAACTGGAGAGCCTACAATTCCAGCATGCTGTGGTCTACTGGAGCTAGCCTGGGCCCAGCTTCAAGAAAATAGTAAGTTCTGATCCCACTTGCATCTCTGATCTGCTGCATGAGTGACTATGCTATGAGCTGTCTCCTCCCAGTCTGATCTTCTGGATAGAAGGGAAAAGCATTTTTTAAATCTCATATAGATGCCTCTCTTGCATAATTATTTACTTAGTGTTCAAATACTGTGGTAATTGTGCTTGAGTAACTGAAAGCATTACAGGCACTTAAACAACAAAAATGTTATGTTGGAAATGAAACCCCATCCTGTTCAAGCAAAATATCAGCTTTCATCTACATATATGCTACACTGAAGGAACAATGCCCTACATTTAAAAGTATAGTACACTAACAATTTTCTAATAATTTCACAGACCATGACTGTGTCTATGCAATGGCAACATGCCCAGTCACACAAGAGCTTTGGTTAGAAAACAAAAGCTTTTTTTAAATTTATTTTAAGGATGTCAGCTACTATACAAAAAAACACAGCCATGCCTACTGCTACACTGGGAGAACAAGGGCATAAGTCTGGTTTTGAAGTAATTTCATTCACTTTCCTGTGTGGGGAACTTTACTGACTTGCATTCATTATTCCTGTTCTGCTCTGGAATCATAGCAGAGTCAGGCCCATAGCTCCTGACCTACCAACATTATACTGTATTTAGTCACAGCATGAAAACAGGAGGAAAGGCAGCACCAGACATACACAGGGAGATTATAAGGGTAGGAGTTGATTTGCTATCCGAGGGTAACACTGCAAAATTTTTAAAGGTAATTCAGTTCTCATTAGCATAGCATGAATTTGTTGGCTATTGTTTCAATTCTAAATAAAACTAATATGACAGAAACCAGAATAGACTACAGGATCTTTATTTAGAAAGTACGATAAAGAGTATTTTTCATGTAGCAGAAATGAAAGAGAGATAATGGCTTATGTTAAATTACCTCCACTGGCACGTGCCATTTTCAGAGCTTCAAGAGAAACAGCAGGGGTTATTTCTAGCTGGCAAACAACCACTTTGGCTTTACAGATGACATCAGAAGCCCTCTTCAGGTCTTCAAAATTTAAAAGCAGGTTGGCTCCTGGGACTATGACAATAACATTCTGTCCTAAAGAGAAGATATTGTGTTTTTACTTTAACTTTGACAATAAAGTATGTAAAACAATTCCTTGCACTTTTTATAATATATTTCAGATGAGTATTTCAATTTACTTCCCAAAAAAACCCCATTAAAAAGGTATGCATTGCTCACATTTTCAAATACACAAATATTTCAGAGGATAATCAAAAAGATTGATGTACTAATGAATTAGCTCTGCACAATAAACACAATATAAATTCCTTTGGGAAAAATCATATATGGGCATTCCCCAGTCTTATTTTGGTGTCTTCTGTGAACTCTAAAGAAGCACTGCACTAGTCACAGTGGAGATGGTGGATACACGCTGAGGGTGATATTTGCATCTTCCTAAAATATTCCAGTAGCATTTGGAAGAGAAAAGCATCAATGTGATTACTGAATTTATATGCCAAAAATGGCATAAAAATTTTAATTTTCTCATCAGCTGGGAACAAAAAGTATTTCACACAGCTAAGAAAATTATGCATGTTCTTTAGATTTCAGAGAAGCAGGCTTGCACCATTTACCTGAGACATTTCAAGTTAGGGCTTCTAATCATCATGAACACCAGAACCAGCTTGTCACCTAAGTCCAGAAAGGTGATGCCTGTGTCTTAGGAAAGTTTTATTAGAAGTGAGTAAAGAAGGTGGGCAACAGCTTCCTCTGCTCTTAGAGGTGGCCAGAAGAATGGTCTAAACAAAGCTCTGTGTGTGGAAGCATGGCAGTGTCTCAAAGCACATCTAAGATTCTTTTTATTCTTGTAGTTTGTTTTACAGTTAGGTGAGGTTCATTTACGTAGGTTCCAAATATTCTTTTGTTTTTCTTCAGACACACAAATCACCTTCTTTTATTGCAATTTCTTTCTTTTTTTAATCTCTATTACAACACTTAGAGACCTTCAGGCATGGGTGCCTTCAAATTAAAATTTATTATTAATCACTCAGGTATTAACTTCAATAAGTCAGTTGTTCCTTGATTTACAGGCTCAGCCCGCCCCCGCTAAAGATTCCTTTAAGGACTGCCAATCATTAAAGGCTACCAATTCTGTAATGAACTGAATTACTCTGCAAATAAATATTTATGTTTTTAAATACATTATTTTTGTTGAATGTGACTTCAAAGTCCTTTGACTAAGAACGTGCAAAGCTTCTCTCCCTAAATACATTCCAAAAAGAAAGCAGGACAATGGAAAGAATAATATAGTGATCTCAGAGGGAGGGACCCAAGCTTTCCAAAGCAATTCTGCTGTCAATGGTTTGGTACAGAACAGCTGCATATGAAAAGCAAAACCTCAGCACTTAAAAGCCAACGCCCTGCTTTTCAACAGACAATGATGGGCATCTTGGATAAAAAACAAAAGAAAAGAAAACAAAAAACCTTCTGCAACACGTAAATGTTACCAAAGATATCTGAATCCTGTTGGGGAAATATTCAAAGGCAAATTGTGCCTATTTTGCCAAGCATATATTTTGATAGCTTTAGGGTGCAGCAACGCAAGCAGTAAAAGACAAGGAATCAGTGGAACAAGAATCTTTTTCATTTCTGCCTGGCCTCTGTGCTTCCTAGAGTCTCAGACTCTATTCACATGTCTTGCTGCATTATCTTACTGAACTATTTAGCTGTACTGACATGTATATTATTATCAGACTTCGGAGCTAATGGCCCAAGGCAGTAAGGGGGGCTGTTTCCTTAAACACGTATGTACAAATTCAAGGTAGACTGTGCTACACTGGATCACAGTCTGAAGATTTTCTTCGTAACTACAAAAGGTCAGAAACTTAGAGTCTCCTTTCAAACCTGCCAGGGAAATGCAGTACCTACAGTGGTGCAACAGTCCAGACAGACTGAATCCAAGCTGGAGGGGACAACCCCCCGCAACCCCCATTCTGTTCTTAGCTATATATACCACACTTAGTGAATGATAGCATTGACCACAAACTTGCACCGGGGTGCATGAAGACAGAATCTGAACCTGTGCACTCACAATGAATTCAAAATTTTGTATTAACAGCAACCATTTTGTTGAAAGGAATTATTTCTTGCCAGGGAAATCAGATGGGAATTCAGCATCAGGGACAACAGAGTTAAAGACAGATGGCAAAGAGGGGTGAGATTCATCTTGTCCAACATGAAATAATTTTTTAAGTTAAAAAAATCCTACACACTAGAAAACTCTAAGAAAACTAATTTCTAAAAATTGTTTTTCTATGTTCCTTCAACAAGGAGAATAGACATATTTTCAGAGGTTTTTTTAGTCTTACATATCTTAGACATCTGTTTGAGGAGGAGATAAACTATTGTCCAGAAAAGTCTATGTACCTCTGTTAACCCTGGGAAGCCTTAAACTGTATACCTAATTACTAAAACTACTCCAGTGAGATTAAACATTACCCACACCAAGAATGAGAATAATGTATCTACTGCATTACTTTTAATTCTAAAATCTCTTTTTTTACACTAAAAATATCAGTTTTGATGGGAACATCTATAAAACTTTGAGTTTTGCAGACATCAGCTAGAATATTAAGGGCCACTTTCACACTTGCTATAAGCTGTAACAGCTAAATGAAACCGATAAGCTTGCACAGGCTTACACCAGATGGGGACTGGGTCCAGTCAGGATAAATGCTGCATACATAAAAACTGTCCTAAGTTGGGCTTCTAAAATTGCTACTGCCAGTTCTTAGAAAGATGGATAACTCAAGCCAGACCTTTTTTCACATGGGTCATCTTATAGATGACACCAGATGAGAAGAGCCAGTGGAAAAATCAAATGTCAAACCAGTAAACACCACAGTGCAATAAATATCTTTAAAACTGGATGACAAGCCTAAAAACCATCAGTAGTGCTTAGAATGAATCAAATTATCAAACAGATGAAATACTGTAATTGTAACAATAGATGCAGAGCTTCTGCTTAGTAATTCACACAGAAGAAAATTCTATTTGTGATCAGAAAAGAATGTTATAAGAAAAACATATGCTGTGAAATCACATAATTCATGAATACAAGGATGAGTTAAGGGTGTGTTATGGTATCACAATTTCTAGGCAACTACTTGATAGAAATATTGAAGAGTCTTGCATATAAAACATTCAAGGTAATGAAGAAAGTCAATATGTAGAAAGTCTTTAAAATTCAGGTGACATTTCTTCATAAACCTGAAGGTTCAAACCAAAGATCTTCCTCTATGGAAAGTATAATACAAATGAATTGGCATATGTATTCTAAGTTTGCCTTATTTACTTAGCCTTACCTAAATAAATATTTTTAATGTTTTTCTACTATTAGTGCTTTGGTACTGAAAATACACTCAACTTACAAAATAATGTCTATTCACTGTTCCTGAATGATTAATCACTTTATCATAAAGTCAGCACAGTGCCTGTCTCAAGTGAGGGTTATCATGCAGGGTTCTGTGTAGGTGAGCTCCAAGTCCTAACTTGCAATAATCAAGAGAATTTAAATCATGACTTGCCAAACTCTGTTGTGCCTCCACTGAATTTTTGCTAGGAATATGAATATGAATATTGTCGGACTTGTTCAAACCTCTAGTCCAGTTAGGCCAAGAAAATGGCACCATTAGTAATCAGTACCAGATATGGCCAAAGCTGCAATCACCTTCAGAGGTAATAGTGTAAAAAATTATCCACAAAGAGGGTTTTTCCCTCACTACATATGTGTTTAAAAGTACAACACATCATCACTTTATGGAGCTCTTACCATCCAATATCACATTGCTAGCAGAAGGTGTGCTAAGTGACAGAGCTAGTGGCAAGAAGGCAGACTGAAAGGGAAAACAAAACCTTGGGTTTGTGAGGCACCTCGAAGAAAATGTGTTAAGAAAAGCAGCTGGATGTACCAGCTTTTATCCTTAAGAGAGAAAGTACAGATTTGGATATACAGGATCCTGGTATACTTGTGTTTAGTCAAATCAAAACTTTCTGAAAAGGCAGCAGCATAAAAGAGAACAACTAAAAGGAACACAAGATCCCAAGCACAGCTTTCTGAGACCAGCCCAGAGGTCTTTGCAGCATCTCTGGGCTGCACATTTTTCAGTGCAGCTCTATAAACTTGTTAAACATCCCCCTACCATACTGCATTAAAACAGAGATTGAACCTCTCTATCTTTTATTGAAACTATACTGTATTGTCCCAGAATATAATCAACTTCGAGAGAATCAAATGTGCCTGATATTTTCCAACTTTTAGCATTTTGCCAATTACAATAGTGGGTGAGTTATACTTGTGCAATTCAGTAACTAGTCAAAAACTTCCAAGAAATTCTTCAGTGCCAGTTGGACAGACAGAGGTAACATCAGGAAAGATTTAATTCAGAGCCTCATCTGACTTTGATCTCTACAGCTTTCTTTTGCTCTGCCTTCACTCATACATCAAGCATCATACACCCTCTACTTTTATATCTCCTACTACTCCCTGTGATTTTTCTCAGCTGGTTTGAGTCGGTATTTATCCCAAGTATCAGTTTGTGTAAAGAATTGGTAAGAACGGTAGGTTAGGTGTCTAAAAATACAGCAATGAGGACTTGTCAATTTAAAGAGATGATAGCTATGGCTTTTATTTTTTCCTCATCTTAACACAAAACACCATCACCAACCCCAACTTCACATGCTTCCCTTCAGGTATAATTTGATCTAGCAGAAACTACTTTACATCAGTCCATTGAGTGCTGTGGTGTTTCAACTATGCCAGCACAGCCACTGCAGTAAAACATACATGTGTAGACAAGCCCTTTGAAAACTGCTGTAAAGCCTGTTTAGGTCAAATCAGCCAGGTTTCTACAGAAAAAAAAAAAAAAAGAAAATGTCTCTTGCAACAGCAAAGCACATAAGTACTGCTATTTTACTGCAATTTACTCAATTCAGGCGCCAGATGGTTTTTGAGAGAAGTAACAACGAGAACCATTACCAATTCTGTGCATCTGCTTGCTTTAGAGCATAGTTCTGACCAGGTTTGCTCTTCTACTAGATTTTAAATTAAATTTGAGGCCAGTGATAACTTAGCATACAATTTTTCAGTTACTCAGAGGCACAAACTACATGACTTTATGCATTATTCATGTCACTATGTGAATCACAAGAATGTCATATACCCCTCACACCGACACTAACACTAACATGTAAGATAGCCCACTGTGAACCTCATGGCCCTAAACATCCATTTCCCTTTCCTGGTGCTAATAAAGGTTTTACATCCACAAGATCGTTTTGTTCCTTATCCTTCAGAAAAATTCTTGGTGGTAAAATTTTAACAGGTCATCCTCTGTTCATTCAAATTTAGACTGTTTTTATCTTAGCTGGCCATGCACATGAATTGGGAAATTATAAGATTGGTTCTTATTCTACTAGTCTGGACAGCAAGCCTAGTGTAAGACAAGTACAAAACAGTGAGGCCCGGGAGAACTACTGGATTCCCAGTAGTCCCTCCTGTTTACAATGGCCATAGTGACTGTAGGCAGCATAAGAAGTATCAAGAGTTGCTGTGTAATCTACCTGCTGATCCAAACCCAGAAAAGGAGGTGGAGGTTAACAGGCAGGTATCCAGGTTATCCAATGTATTAGCGTAACCTTATTTCTGAGTTAGAGCTGTCATGCAAGGCCTGGATTAATCTTACTTAGGGAAAATTAAACTCACATCTCCAACTAATTTGCCTAATTTTCCTGAATATTCCTGTGTAGGCTTGCCTTTAGTCACAGTTCCTTCCCAGTTTTGCTGCGTGAGTAAATAGTTATGTTTCCTTTCCCATTTTGAGCTGTAGCCCAATGTACAGCCATCAGGTTATATAGAAGCTTGGTAAGTTGATGTGTCAGCTAAGCTGTGGTAACTGTTCAAATGAAGCCTCTTAGCAACTCCAGAAGTGAACTAATCCAATCACACTTAATTTGTTATGTTTGCATAAACATTATCAGTCCTGAGCTCTATATTTTGATCCAGACATACTTCTTTTAAGGGCTCTCAATAGCTTGAGAAAATATCTTGAAAAGACAGATAGATGTGGCACTTAGGTAGATGGTTCAGTGGGGGACTTGGCAGTGCTGGGTTGGACTTTGTGATCTTAAAGGTCTTTTTCAGCCTAAATGATTCTATAGTAAAAGTGATGGGTAAGTCATAGTAGGAAAGGAGAACTTTAACCTTCTAATATACTGTGTATTCACGACAATATAAAACTAGATTGATCAGCTGGCTGATAAAATTATGATTAAGGAAAACATAAAGTTTTCTGAAGATAGTTTAGCAACCTTGACAAAGAATACGAAAACAAGCCAAATCCTTATTTCTTCCCCTGCAAAATAAGACTGAAGGCATAGGCTAAGGAAAACTAACATGGAAAAAAATGCCATTTTATTGTGTACTCATCACTGCAGATGCAACTTGAAATCAAGATTTGTGGTAAAATGACAAGATCAACAGAAATATTTTTACTTATACTGAGGACAAATCCTTTTCCTGATTGAGAGCATAATGACTCACTTGGTGTCCTGAGGAGGCAAACCTCTCTCTCACAGGACCAGAGGAAATGGCCTCAAGTTATAGCAGGGAAGACTTAGATTGAATATTAGGAAAAATTTCTTCACTAAAAGGGTTTCCAAGCACTGCAGTGAGGGAAGTGGCTGAGCTACCAACCCTAGAGGAATTGAAAAGACATGAAGATGTGGCACTTAGGTAGGTGGTTTAGTGGTAGACATGGCACTGCTGGGTTAATGGTTGGACTCCTATAATCTTAAAAGGTCTTTTTCAACCTAAATGATTCTACAGTAAAAGTGCTGGGTAATTTGTAGTGGAAAAGGAGAGCTTTAACCTTCTAATACACTGCATGTTCAGGAAAGTAAAATTAGATAGCTTAGCTGGCTGATTGAAATATGGCTATCACACTGCTAATTTAAGCATCTGATTCTGCTGCTTTTAGGCACCTAATTCCACATTGCCTGCAATAAACAGAAATGAAATAAAGTGTAAATAAAATCTTGGAAAAAAAAGAAAAATGTAGAAAAAAATTTCCACAATTAACAGTGACAAGTCAAAGGTTTCTTTTATGGCTGAAAAGGCTGAACAAAGAGGACAATTTAGAGCAGAAATATGTACCTTCACTGTTGACAATTATTGAAGCAGTTCCAGTAGCAGCATCTGTAGTTTGACCTACAAATGCTAAGAAAGGGAAAAGTTAGAGCATGCTCTAGTTCAATACATTACTTTCAACCAATAGCATGTGATGCAGTTTAATTGAATTAAATCTAAAATGAACCCATAACCTCCAGCAATTTAAAAATGCTAATTACTCTTTCATGTGCAACAATGCCAGAGAAGCTAACAACAACAAAAAGTGTTAATTTACACCCACAAAATGAAATACGAGTCCAACATTCTTTAATTTGGCTACATCTCTGCATTAGAGAAAGCATGTTATTTATACAGCCTTCTCAAGCACTCTACTCCTACTTGGAAATATTTCTTTTATCCAATGAAACAATAGATTCAAGGCTAAAGAAAAACAAAAATACTAAAACAACCCAGCATCTCATTCTGTGTAGATTTGCATTTCAGCAGCAATACTAACTAATACTATGAAGGTAGTGGTGGGGTTATATGCATCCTTTTTGGATTGCTATTCAGAGAAATTAACATGATGCTGTGATTCTGGCAGCACTGTCTGTTAGAAAGATTGCTCCATGTTTCCTACTATAAGAACCTGTTTTCAGCTGACACCAAATTTGTCAAATACCAACCAATGATAGGAAATTAGTAGTAGAAAACAGTAGCACCGTAGCAGAAAACTGACCAAAAAGTTGAGGGTTTCTTTTTTCTTCTCCAAAAACTGTATTTGAGAAAAATCTACTATTCCATTTGAGACAAATTCTGGTGACCTTTTGTTTAAGGAGCTCTGGTGTTCTAACTTTGTAGAACGTGAATTTAATGCTGGGCAAAAAGTAGGCTTCTTTCTCAAGATGTGCCTTTGTGGCCAGTTTAACAATCTGCTCCAATTTGAAGGCAGAAAAAACACCTTACATCATGCTCATCTGGTTTTGCTGAAGTCTTGCAGGTACTTGCCCTGGAGGTACCCTTGTCTAGCTCAGTACCAGGGTCAGAGCAGGACTTCCCTTGCAATTACAGCTTATTTTCACCATCAATTCTGTCTACATACTCGAACTGAAAGCAGAGAATATGTGTCTTCTGTAGTCTCAATACTCTTGCAGCATGAGCAGCGAGTTGCCCAGTTCAAATGAGGGAAAAGGAACAACAGATCAATAAAGATCTAAATGGTGTGAGCAGCACTGGCAGCTGGTTTGTTGTGGAAGACAAGAAGACAGGGAAAGGGGAAAATTACAAAAGAGATTGGAATTGGAAAGAAAAGGAGTATGCTGATATGCTAGGAAACATAAGAGCAACATGAAGACATAAAACAAGGACCCAAGTTATGAGAGCTGGAAGAACTGGCAGAATCCAGTATCCTTCTGCACAACAACAGAGATATGCTAGAAAATTATTAAACCAGGACAAAAAACCCATGACTGAAATAAGACTATCTTAAGAAAAAAGCTCTGAGCACACTGAATCACCCTTGCCTCCAGATCTTTGAATACAAGTTAGGATCCTGGATCAACCTCACCAGCAGTATATCTTACTTTTCTCCAGGGCTGATCAATGGAAGAGGTGACAATCCAATACAATTCTGAGATATTTTTAACTCAATCAGCAGAAACTGGGACCTTGGATCTAAACATTCCAGCTGTTCAACTGATCTACCTAGGTATCAATGAACTGCAATATGATGGAATTTCTGAATATTTTCCCTACACTTTTCTTTTGTTGCTATAAAGATTATTTTAAAATTTATGTTAATATTGAAAGATCAATAATTTAAATCAGAAAACATTAAGGTTCTTCGTGGCATATGCATTTTCATTAAGTGTTATGCATTATAATTGCTTCATTTATATGATCAAAGACACGAAGTAGGCATGCTTTGGAGACATTCAGAACAGTACACTAACACACCTTTTTCATGGCATCCTTGCTTGGTTTGTTGCCTAATTTTAAAGATACACAATGAATAAACCTATATATACATTTGTGAAATATTTAGATGCTACACTGATAAGCATAATTCTAAAGCCCACAAAATACTGATAGCTTTGCCTTTAAAGCAGGACTTGAATAATGCAGTAGATTAAGCTTGTGGCTGCACATTAAACAGAAGAGATAAACGGAATATTGAATTGCTACTTAGTGATTACATCTGTCCATCCTTGTCCAGCCCAAAGGAGAAAAGGGTGGTGTAGACAAAAAAGTGATAATATAGTTAAGCAGTGCACAGTAGACAGGGAGTTGGTTTTACAAAGGTAAAAGATAATAGAATATTCTGGATGCCTAATTTTCACTTTTTCTGAAAGCTTTTTAATATTGATTTTTATGTGTATGTGTGCTAACATCAGCTGCAGTCTCTAAAATGACTGCATGTGTTGGTTCACAAAGCAAAGGTGAAATGTACTGCATTTACCATTGAATTCCCACTCCGTCCCTCCTCTGACAACATGAAGTTGAGAATGAGTAATCAGAATGAATTTTTAAATTTCTCACTAGGCATTATTATAATTAATGCCAGACTAAACAATTGCATAACAGCAAGTTATCTTCAGGTGACTTGCAATGATGTAATCATCTGAGATTTAGAGGCAATAACAGTACATTTTATTTTTAGTGGTACAGCTGATTTCAGGAGTCCCCATAGTCTCTCTTATATTCATTCATTCCTGCCAGCTGTATCAAAACAGTTATTCATAGTTCTGAATGGTAAAACATATCTAATAAGGCAAAACAATAATAAACCTTCCACCACCTGTTTCTGAAGTTAAAAAATAATATGAAATATTTAAAGTAGAATTTTACCTGTAGAAATTCCATTCTTCTTCAAATTATCAACATAATCATTGCCAAAGGAATCACTCCCAACCTATACAAAAGATAAAATAATGGGTTTTCTTTACAGAAAGGTGAGAGGATAAATAGACCATCTTTAGACAACCAAATGCTCTACTGTAATTTAAATACAACACTTTTAGTCTTTAGAAGCCCTTTGACTGATTAATCAACAAATGATGAATTGAGAAATAATGGTAAAAATGTATTAATAGTATTAGCAAACATCAAGAACATTTTCTGCACTTTTCTCCTGCTCTATTACAAACACCCATGTTGTAATATTCAAGTTTCATCCTTGTACAATCCCCATGCTTCTTTGACACTGAAACTTCTGGGGATTTTTAAAACTGGACATGTACTGAATTTTTCAGCTTTGAATTGAAAGCATTGACATTAATTCTGGTGTCCTTCTTAATTGCAGCTTGTATTTTTAATTTTTTACCTCAAGTTTCCTTGGTGGAAAAATATGAAACTGTGTTTATGGGACAGAAAGCAATGATGAACACAGCATTACTAATTTCTGCAATTCTCAGTACTAAGTGTACTGTTTAGAAATTCAAATTTTTTTTTTTTGTTTGCATTATCCAGCAATAGCAGATCAGGTTGAGTTAGGAAGTCAGGCTATGGTCTATTGTTTTTTAATAGCAACTTTAAAAGCTTGTAATTTCAGTTCCATTAATCTTTTTAGCTGAAAACAATTCTGCTTGCTGTTTATTCAAACTAATATAAATTTCTTTTTGTTACATTACACAAGCTGAACAAAGGAGATGAGGTACATGGGAGAAAAAAATAGTTTAATTTGCTTAATATCATGCAAGCATTTAAAATATATTTATAGAGCCAACAAAGCTTTTGAGTCACCACTCTTAGCCTGTCTTCAGCATGCATAGAATGTGTTCCCAATTCCAAGAGTGAGTTGTGTATTCGAGCAGTGTCAAAGACTAACCAATGCTACAGAAAGTATTTTTGCAAGAGGAAAAAAGAAGTATCTTTCAGATTAGAAGCCAAGTTGAGATCCTGGTTGTGGGTCTAGGGAAGTCCTAACCAGTCATCCACCTTCTCATAAAACAGCACTATGTAGCTAACTTCAGTTAGTTAGCAGTGTACTTCAGTTACCAGAGGCACAAAGCAATTGCCTCTACTGGCTGTTGTTAGAAAATTGTCTATTTGTGAGTTCAGTCCTTCAGAAAGCTGAGAAGGCCTGAATACCAACAAGTGAGCACAAGAATCAAACACTTTGATTCAGAATTCTAAAATTTAAAGTGTCACAGATAGATGATCCTTCTCCTCATGTATTTAATTGCATAACCATGATTTGAAACTTCCATTTCCTACAACATCTCTAAGAGGTTTTTCTAAAGCATTATTATGGATAGTCCTAGTCTTTCAGCAAAGGAGGACAGCAATTAAGGTCAGAATAGTCTAACCAGATGGAACATTGGTCTAGTACATGGAAAAAAACCTCCAAACAACCCAACATTTTCTTGGGTCACTGTGTTAGTCATTGTTTTCATATTAGAGTATATTTGTACTTCTGACTACTCCCACTTTGCCAGACAGGGCGGGTTGTCAGAAGCTGCCTCTTCTGACTGCTTTAGGCTGGATGACTGCAGCCATCTGCAACTTAAATCTGAGGTGTGCTCACCTCTACACCCTAAAAACTGTGTTCTGGAATACATTCAGTCTGATAGCATCACCTTCTCCCTCCCTTGCTACTATGATTCTTCTACAACAAATCTCACAATCTGCTCAGTTAATTCAGCAACAAAATATTTTATAACCCCCTTCCAAAAGCTCAGCTGAAACTTCCTTCCTTCAGCTCTGGATCCTGCATGACTGACAGACAGGCATCCCTTACTTTTCCACTGTCAAAGCAGCTGAGATCAGCCATGGTATTTTGCTCGCTGTAAGACATCTCAGTGCTAGAGGGAAGCCCTCCAAGGGGTGTCCATGGAGTTCACTTTCCTCTGGAGACTTTTTTCCATGTTAGTTCATCAGTATCCAACCCAGTTAATCCTAGTGCATTTGAAGGACTTTATTTTTCCATTCAGACTTTACCCCCAAGGAAGACAAGACTATTGGGCATTAGACTCAGTTTAGATTAAAGGCATATTTACTGGCCGTGTCAAATTATATAACATGGTTTAAAATATTTTCTGCTTTTGCACAGACTCTCCTAGATGGACTGCTGGATAAACCGAAAAATAGATGTCTCAGTCTGCAGACCACAGAACACTGTTAAGAGCTGAAACAGCATTTCTTCTTTCTTGAATTCTTAACAATAAAAGCCATTTGTACAAGCATTAAGATGTGGAAAGACAGAAAGAAAGAAGACTGGGTTTTAATGAAATAACAGAAATATGTTTTTGAAAAGTATTTAGAAAATATAGTAACTACTAAATTTTATTATGATTGTGTATGTTTCCATTGCACTGAGCAAAGGGCTAGACCATTAAAAAAATAAAGTAAAATTCACATTTGCAATGGAAAAAAACCCTTTAACATTTAGCAAGAAATGTTAGAAGGGAATTCACTGCCAGTTCATGTTGTACTTGAATCTGATCGTTCTTGAATGCAAAGATGATCAAATATACACAATATGACAGAAGCGCAAACATTGCCAAAAAAACGCAATGCCACACTGCAGAACAGCTAGTGATAATAACTCACAGAAATGCTTTCAGGTGTAATTTAAATTTATAGCCAAAATTGATTGGTCTAAATATTGAATTGTAAGAACAGTGAGGAAGGCTTCCTTGAGATGTTTGCAGTACTTCTCAAAAAATCCTTGACAGACAATGATCCAAGAAATTTAGCATCCTCCCCAGCTATGGCAAAAAAACAAAGTATGTCCAGTCAATTTGAAGTTTCATCTACAGTTAGCACAGGATAGACAATAAAGACTAGAGAGAGAAAAAATTTGATCTAAACTGTAGTAATGATCACTCAAAAGTTATAATGTTTAATGACAAAAATCAAAGAAAAGCATTGTAAGAATATAGCATCTGCCAAGTTGAATCAGCCCAATGGTCTGTGAGCAAGTCTTTAGAGCTGCAGTACATCAGATGTTTCAGAAAAGTAGGCAAAAACATCCCATAGCACACAAAGGTGCTAGAATTTGGATATGATCACCTTATCTTAACCTCAAGTAATGAGATAATGATTCAACCCGCAAAGCACTTTTACATTCCTTCTCAAATTTGTCATTGGCTTGTGAGTGTCTGATTTTTAATCATCTACAAAGTAAATTTCAGAGCGACCATAGCTTCTAACACTTGAATGCCATCAATGAAGTGCTGATCACAGTAACAGTGGGGAACATAAAGAGGAAGTCCTAATCAAGATTTCTTAAATTCTGAACATGTCTAACTCTTCCCAATTCTCTTTCCCATGGTGTATCAATCTAAGTTTTGCAATCCTTCTCTACATGCAATTTCTGTCAGATCTATAGCCAACTAGTCTTTGATTCTGGCAGTGCTCTTAAACAGCCTCCTCCACGCTTAAATTTATAGCTGAAATAAGAAAAAGAAAAGAGAATTAGGGAGAGATTTTAAAAGCTAAAAACATACCAAAAGCTTTTTGGTAAGCGACCAAAAGGTTTACTGGAATTTGCACGAACATTCAGTTCAGCTGTAATTGAAGAGCAAGTCAGCTCTTACCTTGCAGATCAGTGAGGTGTTGGCCCCAAGTCGAGCAGACTGGACACACTGGTTGGCTCCTTTCCCACCAAAACCAACAAAAAACTTATGTCCAAGGATTGTTTCTCCAGCTTTTGGCAATCGTGTAGTAAGGCTGTTCCAATTTAAAGCAATATTTACATACATTAGTGACTGAAAATAACAAGCATCTTCAATATAAGAGTTACATAGTTATAATCCTAAATGGCTCAACGGTCAGCCAGTAAGACTGAAAAATACTCAAAAGACGTTTTAGGGTTCTACTCCACATATTACTAGTTTAAGTTTACTCCTTATATGCCACACAGTCAAGTTTCTTGTCCCCTCAAGAGAGGGACTACATTTCTTTTGTTCATGTTTCACATTTCTACAGAAGTTGTACCTAATCCCTGACTGGGACGCCACACAGTCAAGTTGCTTGTCCCCTCAAGAGAGTTGTTCATGTTTCACGTTTCTACAGAAGTTGTACCTAATCCCTGACTGGGATTTTCCACTGCTAACTCAGTACAGATAAACCATAAATCTATAGGTCTTACTGTTCTTAGGGTTTTTTTACTGTAACATTAGGCTCAAGTTTACATATAGTTCATTTAATTCCATTACATGTAATTATACCTTCTTAAACTATACTTAAGAAATTTTTCATTCTGTTGGTGTTCACACTCCTAAGAATTGTAACTGTTACCAAAATCTGCCTCTCCTCTGCTGTCATACAGGCACCCGGTACATATTTAACATTTTTCTTTTTTAAGTTTTTCTCTTACAAATCAAGCTTTACAACTTCTCAGCATTTTGTTTTTTCCTTGAATGCAGTCCAATCACATTTACATCCTTCTGCGGATGGGTGCCCAGAACCAGATGCATTAATACAAGCCGAAAGCCATCAGGAGTGTATTCTGATTTCATTTCCATTTTGGAAAAAAACAAAACAAAACTGCAGTTTTGTTAATCCTACCAGATGCTTTGCTATCTCAAACAAAAGTTGAAAAGAGTAAAAGACACCACTGAGACTGTCGGGTAGAATTTCTCAGAATACAAAGACTACCTGACTTTTGTAATTTCTATTAAAATACGTAACCCAAAGATGCATTTTCAACACTCAGATAACCAAAATTTTTGCCTTCTCAAGGCATGCATTCCAGATACCAGGCCTAAAAACGTCATTTTAAAACCTCTTACATTACAAACAAGTTCACAGCACATGGAAAGGGAAGGCATTCCATCATGTACTAACAACCTGCTCAGTCAACAACAGTTACCTCAGACAGTTTCCAGAAGTCTCCAGGATAGAAAGGAAGCATGGGGAATGCGAGCCTGAAAGAATGCAAAAGAATCCACCCCCAATGATGAAGAAATTAACTTCAGCTCTGTTTGTCAATTTATAACATCATTCTACCAATACATCTCACAGCAGCTTCAAAATTCAAAAACTGAATTCTGGGCTCCTCAGGAAAGAGGGACATGGAGCCCCTGGAGCAGGTCCAGCCAAGGGTAACAAAGATGATCAAGGGACTGGAGCATCTCACGTATGAGGAAAGGCTGAGGGAGCTGGGCCTGGTCAGCCATGAGAAGAGATGCCAGAGAGGGAACCTCATCAAAGTCTGTCAATGTCTGAAGGGAGAGTGCCAGGAGGATGGAGCCAGGCTCTGCTCAGTGGTGCTGAGCAATACACAAAAGGCAATGGGCAGAAACTAATGCCCAGAAGGTTCCCACCTGAACATCAGGAAGAACTTCTTTACTGTGTGGGTGAGTGAGCCCAGAAAGTCTCCCTTACTGGAGATATTAAAAAACTGCTTGAGTGCAAAGTGCCACGTGCTCTAGGATGACTGCTTGACCAGGAGGCTTGGAACAGATGATCCACTGTGATCCCTTGTAACTTCAACTATTCTGTGACTCTGAAAATTGCCAGCCTTCCAATTCAGAATAAAAGTTTAGATAGTACAATAAATTATTCACTGTGGGAGTGGTGAGACACTGGAACAAGTTGCCCAGGGAGGTTGTGGATGCTCCAGCCCTGGCAGTGTTGAAGGCCAGGTTGGATAAGGCCTAGGTCTAATGGGAAGTGTGCCTGCTTATGGCAGAAGAGGTTGTGACTGGATGATCTTTAAAGTTCCTTTCAACCCTAAATGTTCTATGATTCTATGCTTCTGCACTAGGCAATCACTACAGATTGTTTTTCGAAAGGATATGAAGAATGTGTATATTACTTTCTGAGCTTATGCTGCACCTTCTGGGGCATATGGGTGTTTGCGGAATGTTACAGAACTAATGACAGAGCACAGAATTTTCTAATTTACTGAAAATTCTCAAGAAAAAGCAAACATTCTTTTTCTCCCTCTAATTTTCAATTTCTTCAGTCCAAAGGTTTAGGATCAGTAGAAAGTCAAGAAAACCTAAAATGAAACTAGCAAAGCCAAACAAGTCCCAAACTCCAGAAATTAAGATTTTGGCTTTGAAGGAGTTGTTGTAGGTCTGTGCTTCATCAGTAGTTATAGTTTCCAGAGAGGTGCAGGTAGGGATGCAACCTCACTAACAGAGATGCTCACTAACACAGCACGCCAGATTTTTAGGATAGCATACACAGTCACCAGGTTTCTTTCGTGTGGGTGGCCACAGATAAACCCCCGAAGAGTCACACATACAGCTCATAGCACGCATTTCCAGAGATTCAGAGCCAGGAACATTTTGTTGCGAAATGTTTAAACCATTTTCAATAAAAACACAAAAGCTTTTTAAAAGTACACTTATTACCTTATATATACATATATCTGGAAAGGATTGCTAAGCTCCTAATACAGCAAAGTTAAAACTGCCCACAGCAGCATCCAGGAAATTGTTTCCAACAATGAGTAACTGTATATTATCAGGGGAAAAGGTGCAACAATAAAGAGTATCGATAAATAGTAATACATAAAAAATATTCCTTAAGGTAACATCTGTAATTTATCACCATTTTCACCACTGGAAGCCAAAGTAGAGGCAGTTGTGGACCAGTGAAGGCCAGAAGACCCAGCTGAGGAAGCTCCTCTTCACCTACTGCCAGGGTACTGCACATACACCTCTAAAATTAGGTGCCATTCAGTAAGGGAGGATGTTTCACCCAGCCTTGGTTATAAGAACGAATAGCAGCTATTGTATAGTTCCTTTCCTAAAAAGCAGGACAACATAATTATTCCTGTTTTGCAGGTATGGAACTTAGTCAATGCATTTTGCCTTTTCATGTCTTGGGTCAGTCAGGGGCAAAACCAAAAAGAGAGATCAGCTTAATCCACCAGCTCACACTGTCTTCTCATTTAAATTCTGCAGTATGAAAATGGCATAAATTCTCAATTCATTTTTCTTCCTTAGGCTGCTTTTTTTTTTTTTTAGAGATTATAGCTTATTCTAAATAGATTTTGCTCCCATAAGAAGTCCATATATTTTTAAGCAAAGATTATAAATTTTTGTGATTCCAGCACACACCTCCTAATAGCACTGCTCAGAGTTCATATTCAAGTATGTTCAACCATAAATACTGTAGTTTTAACAGTGGCCAGACTGTGACTTGATTCTTCTCTCTTTTATGTTGGCATCAACATGCAACTCCAGTGTAAGCATCATAATTTCACTGGAGAAAAAACGGGCTTGGTGAGATGAGAATTTCTGTCTCAGTGTTTCAAGTAGCGTGGCATAACTGCCTGTGGGGTTCAAACAACTTGTGGAAGACAGGGAAATTACCTTTTTTATTGCTTTGATGGAAAGGTACAAGACAAAGGGCAAAGGATCAAGTGCAAGTGTGATTTATAACTGGTCAATTTTTAAAATAAGCTAAAACAGACCAAGCAAGACCATGTACCAACTTCCTGTAGTTCTCTACAAACAAACCTTCACCATACTTCATTTTAGGCATGATTGCCAATCATTCCAGACCAATTCTCCACTCCAGATGCCCATTCTTATTTTCCATATGAAACAAATTCGGCTATATACTGATCTATATATCTGATCTCATATCTGTGCTGATCTATATAGGCAGTTTTAACTTTCACTGAAACCAGTACTCATGAAACAGGTTTCTTTGCTAATATAATGGCATTCTCTCATCATTTAATTCTGCAACTATACTAACTTTTGATTCACATCAGACAATTTTAATGAGCATTTCAGGCTTCTTTTATGAGCAGGCAGTGATGACTAATCTGTATGATTAAGAAACCCTATAAATTCTTGGCTTATTCATGGTGTCACAAAGAATACTCAAAATAGCCTAAAAGTGATGAAACAGCTAATGTTACTCCAAAACTAGGCTAAATAAGTTAATTAGAAAAAATGTCACATGGGCATTCCGTATTGTTACATAAAATGTTTTGCAAAGCCGTTTACAACTTCTGATGTAATTTGAAAACACTGACCTGAAAAACCCAATATAAGTTACTGTGCAATAGACTCCTCCTTGCTTACATGACAAATTCTGCTCACCTTTGAGAGGATAAATGGTGCAAGGGATACTGAGCTCTTAGGTCTTATGAATAATCAGAAACTGAACTTCAAAACTCATAATATATTCTAAGTAAAATAAAATCACTGTATGTTTTGCAAATTGTGCACAGTACAACTGAATCATATTTATAGAGGAAAGTTCAGACTGAAACATCTTGAATTACTTTGGACATTACAAGCAAGGAATATCCTCACTCATAATTTTACTGAGTTTTTACAAAACAATATGTAAATGTAAAGCACACAGGAATGTTGCCCACATTTGTTTGTGACAAATGAAGAATCTCACATACACTTACGTTTCAGATGTTTGGGATGAATAAAGGGCACAGACATAAGTATTCTACCACTGCACTAACTTTAACCCTCTCTTCCAGCATGTGCCACGAGTTCTCATAGAGGCTAGAGCTGATTAGCATTTGTATTAAAGGACAGATATCCCTTTGGAGGGATGGCATTTAAACCAGAACAGAAATCTTTACTACAGTGTTGAAGCACTGAATCAGAGGTGAAAGCACAATGTACTGAGTCATTAGTGCACTTTTCTTGATATTCTGGGTTTTCTCAAAAAGTTCCCCTCTAAGCATGTGCCTAGATCACATACAGAGATAGAAAGTATGAAGAAGGAGAAAGAGA